GGAACGGACTGTTCCATGTCCAGAATGGCCCGTTTCGGAACTTGGAACAGACTGTTCCAATTCCAAAACGGCCCGTTTCGGACTTTGGAATAGCCTGTTCCAATTCCAGAATGGCCCGTTTCGAACTTAAGAACGGCCCGTTCTGATCTTGGAACAGCCCTTTCTGTGGCAATTTTTAAAATCAGTTTACTTGTGCCCGGCGCATTTCTGTTTTGCGCCCGGCGCGACAAGCTCCAGAGAGCTTTTTATGTGTCGTACGCCCGGTGCAATTCTGTTTTGCGCCCGGCGTGAGTTACTCCAGAAAGTTCTTTATACTCTCTACGCCAGGTGCATGATTCATAAGCCCGGCACGAATCACCTCTAAACCCTTTCTTTTTGTTGTGTTTATTTCTTTTTAGGTCTAAGGCTAGTTTTCATTTTGGGTTACCTGAATTGGTCATCCTGGTCTATCTTGTTATGCTCATTTTGCTACCTAGTACTTCTTGTATTAATTTTGCAGATGGCCTCCTCTAGCAAACGTACCCATGCTGGCAAATCGGGTCAACCTCCCCGCAAGCCCAATCAGCCCTATTCCAACCTCTTCCTCACCGAGCGGAATGAGACTCATTTTGAGTCTATCAGTAGCAGGAAGTTCATTTTGGAGCGGAGGGTTGAATTAGAAGAAAATGAGGCCCCGGAGTTCCAAGCAGAGTTACACAGGCGCCGATGGGACAAGCTTGGATCCTACCCACTCCTGGCCAACATAGCAGTAGTTAAGGAGTTCTGTGCCAATGCCCTAAGACTGGAGGAGGGCATTGCGCCATTTACCAGCTATGTTAGGGGTGTGCGAGTGCCCTATGATGCAAGGACGATTAATCAATTTTTGGGGACTGAGTTGAGGGCTGATGAGGTGTTTGAGAATGGCAACTACACAATTGACACGATGGATCCTGTAGTAGTAGAGGCTGCTATCTGCATGCCTGGACATGGGTTCCACAGGAACCGATCTCAGCAGCCTCTCCACGTGAAGCGCCGGGATCTCCTTCCAGTGGTCAGGATTTGGTCTGCCTTGGTGCATGCCAACATCCTTCCGTGCTCACATGTCTCAGACCTGTACTGGACTCGGTCCATGCTCATGTACTGCATTATGACACAGAGGACCATGGACCTGGGCGACATCATTTGTATGGAGATCTCTGGCTGCGCCAACTCTACACCTGGCTCCGCCCTTGGACATCCTTCGCTCATCACGCAGTTATGCCAGCTTGCAGGCGTGGATGTCCATTCGCCTCCGTTTGAGGGTCCTGGCAGGGCCATTGATAGCAGATACATCTCTGCCTATTGCCAGGACTGCGCCCCTTCTGAGCCGTTGTTGAGCAATCATGAGTTTGAACACGAGGCAAAGGGGAACAAGAGCAACAGGAGGAGAAGGAGAATCAGAGCACCTCAAGTTGGTCACCGTCAGGCTCGGGACAGTAAACAAGCGCTTCCTGGGAGGCAACCCAGAGATCTGAACTGTGTTTTTATGTGTTTTTCAGTTACTTGTGTTTTAGCTTTTATTATGATTGTGTTATAATTGTATGCTATACTTGTTTATGGGACTTGTTTTGTGATTGTTTATGTTTTGTGATATGTATGTTGTATTGTGTTGTGCTATATGTGTTTTGTGTTAGGTATTAATCGTGTGAATCTTGCTTGAGTGGGTTAATATAGATTAGAATATGTTAAGAGTGTGAGGAGTGGAAAAATCTAGGTGGAAGCTTCACAGAGTTAACCACGCCGGGCGCGACTTAGCCATGCCTAGCGCACCTAGAGTAAATGGGCCTCTACCAAGACCCACGTTGGGCGCAATTTTTAATTGCGCTCGGCCCAGCCTTCATTAAAGTCCCTGGAACGACCAAGCCCGGCGCATTTATTGGGGCGTCGGGTGCATTAACTACTGGTAGGTCTGAGCCTTAAATACGCCGGGCGAGTATCTGCCAAGCCCGGCGCCACACCAGATTAGGTTAACCTTTGGGCTTCTACTGATACCACGCCCGACGTGGGTAATTTCACACCCGGCGCGACCTTGCAGATGCCTTAACCTCTCAACTTCCTCTCCCACGTTCCCACTCACTCTAACCCTCTCAACTCCCTTCCCCTTTCTCTCAACTTCCCACTCCGAACTCCCTCTCACACACTCTTCATCTTCCCATTCATTCTACCCACCTCTTCTCCTTCAACTTCTCTTCATCATTCACTCTCAGCATTCTCCATCTCAAGGTCACGCGTGCCATTTCTCCTCCTCTACAACAGTTCAACTCAAGTAGGTTCACACTCAACGTTTTCTTGTCTGTTATATCTGGTTCTGCATTTTTTCTTCTTCTTTTTGGGATTTCATGGGGTTTCTGTTAACCCCCATTGGGGTGCAATCGCGCCAGGCGCGGTGCCTTTGAATGAAGCTTCGAAACGGCCCGTTCAAATTCCAGAACGGTCCGTTTTAGATATTACATCCAGCCTCATGTACCTATTGTAGCATCATATATATGTAAATAAAATTATAACTAAAAGTGAAATCAACATATATATCACACCCAAGAACACAAACCTTGAGAAAAGAGAGGGGTCCATAGTATTCAGAGATCCTGCTTCTGCACCATCAACCACAAATTTCAGTGTAGGAGTTGTATTGGATTGCAGGATTTTTGAAACCATTACCAATAGCACAACCTTTCGTTATATCAAATGAAATCATCGATGCAAGCAAAAGCAAGAAAAAATAATTAATAATTAATTAACCTTTCCCAATCATTCTTGACAAATCCAGGATGCACCTCGAAAAGCTCCTGTCATGCATTATAGTAATTTTTTTTATTGGTAAACAAATAATGTATTAAATAGGTAGCATAAACACATTTACAGGACAACAAAATATGCAACTAGCATATTGCAAGACCCTTGGTTTAAAGTAATTTCATCTAATCTAATCCTCTAAACGTTATGAACAAATGGAACATCGAACCTTCTTTTGAAACCCATTAGCTTCTCTGGTTCCAACCACGGTGTTTTTTCATTTCTATACTTTATAATTCACATATTTACCATTTATAAATCTATAAATTAAAGAAGACACTTTTTTTTTTAATCTTCATCACTTATATTTTGCGAACAAAAAATTTATCAGATTGTTAGGGAAAAAGCCTCACCAATGAGCACGGCTGGTAAAAAAATATGCTTAAATATGATTTTAGTTTTTGTAAAATAAATGATTTTTTATTTTAGTTACTGTATATTTTTTCATCTTTTAAAACTTTGTAAAACTTATTTTTGGATCTTTGTAAAAAAAATCATCTTTGTAAAATGAGTAAATTTTAATTTTGGTCCTCATATTTTTTTTATTTTTATTTTCATCCTCTAAAATCTTAATAAAACCATCATTTTTGAACCTAAAAATGATCTTAATTCCTCTATTTTTTTGTCAACCTGCAATTTTGATTTTTCTATTTTTTTAATATAAATATTAAATCTTTCTATTTCTAAAAATACAAAATTTTAGTTTTACTATTAATTTGATGTTCGTTGATTATGAAATTTTGAAAAAACAAAATATAAAAGATTTATGTTTGTATTTATTACCAAATATCACATTATTTAAGTATAAATAAACATTAAAATTTAGTAATTAATAAATATCAATTTAATAAAAATTCAAAATTTCATAATTTTAAAATTAAAACGATTAAATATATTTATTTTAAAACAAAGGAATCAAAATTACGGATGGGCAAAAATAGAGGGACCAAGGATGCAATTTAGCCAATAATTTTAACGTACATAAATATCTCTATAACTTTTTTTTGGCTAAATTATACTTTTGGTCACTCTATTTATTTTAGAAATTCAATTTGGTCCCACTATTTTTAAATGGTTAAATTTATTTATTTTTAAAATATTCAATACTATTTTTCTGCCTAAATTTACGCTAACAATGATAATGAAATCAAAAGAACAACATTGAACATTTTTTAGAATTAGAGGACCAAATTAAGTCATTTTAAAAATTTTATTTAACATTTTTTGTCTTTTTAATTAAATTTGAATTCTCTTTTATTTATTTAATAATTTATTTTATTACTTAACTCCTTCATTTTATGGTCATTTTTTAATTCCAAATACTTATTTTTTTTTTGTCATTCATGATCTTGTTAATATAAATAAAAGGAAATTCAAATTTGTCTAGATAAAAAGAATGTTAAATAAATTTTTATTTAATTTGATCCTAGTATTTTTAAAATATTCAATTTAGTTCTCTATTTTTTTTAAATATTCAATATTATTATTTCATTTAATTTCATTAATGTTGTTAGTGTCAATTTAGATATAAGAATAACATTAAGCATATTTTAAAAACTAAAGGACCATATTAATTTTTTTAAAATAATGAGATTAAATTGAACTATAAAAATAAATAAAGACAAAATATAATTTGATAATTTTTTTTAGAAATATCATATACTAACACAATATCACTAATAATCAAGAGTAACATTTGAGATTGTTACTTAACCTTTTAATAAAAAATTAAGTAGTTAAAAATAATTACAAAATAATAAGAACTAAAAATAATAATATATTTTAAATTTTAAAGAGATAAAAAAATATATATATCTCACACAAAGCAAAATCAAAATTTATTCAATTTATAGAGATTAAAGATATATTTAAATTTAAGAAATAAATAAGAGCTCCGTATTTTATTTTATGAACTGTTAAAATAGCTTGTAAAATTAATATAAGTTGCTTACAAAGCACAATCTAATAAATATAAGCCTTTACTTGCGGTTGAATCACGACTTATGCACGGTCCACTCCTTATGAACGGCTTCTTCTATTTTAGTTTTCAGCTGTGTTTAATTTTACAATGTCACAAAAGATTGAATCCCACTTTTTACTTTGAATAATGCCCAAATATTAGTAATCGTTTATTCTAGAATTGGAAAAAAAAAAATTTAATACGAAAACGGTGAAACTTGCACAAATAGTCAACACAACTGTAAAGATCAGGAATTTCAGAAAAGGTTCAGAGAAAATATAATTTCCACCCTCCAATTTATGCCTGAAGTCATAACACAAAATAATTGTGAACACTATCCACGTCTGAGATTATGTTTGGTTTTGGTTTTGAGATGAATCTATATTAAACTTGAAGGACATTAAGTAACTGTTTTTTGCTTATTTCAGATTCCCTGCCATCCAGCTTTTCAACATTTCAAGTGCAGCTTTTGGTTGATCCATAGGGACCAAGTGCCCAGCATCACGTACCTATTGTAGTATCACACAAATCAAATTATAAAAAAGTGAAATTAACAGCGTCATGCATACTCAAGAATACAACCATGAATACAAACCTTGAGAAAAGAGAGAGGTCCATAACTATTCAAAGACCCTGCTTCAGCACCATCAACCACAAATTTCACTGTAGGAGATGTTCCAAAGGACTTTTGACCTGACCACTCCATCGCATGAACCCACCTTGAATTCCCTGCCAAATAACAACCATATCAATAATTCAATCTAGCATATAATATATAATTTTTTCAACACAAACAAATTTGTTTCAAATGAATGAAGTAGACTTACCAAGCCAATTGCATATGAAATCCTTATCACCAGCATACACAAGCATCTTGATTCCATCCTCAAGAAGAGAAGGAATTCCCACCTCCAAATTTCTCATAAAATCTTGCAGAAAGGCAGCATGCACTCTTGAACTGCATGAAACAAACTCCAAGTCTTTTGGCACACCCAAAGCACTCTTTACTTGCTGTTGACTTAACAATTTCTCCACATTTCCAAAGTCATAGCACAATGGTCCCACACATTGCTTTCTAATGTCATAGACCTGCAATTTGCACATCAGAAAAATGCACAACAAAACTGAAATTAGTAGTATAAAAGAAAAGGCATTATTCATTCATCATTACTTACATTAATGTTGCCGGCGATTGTTATGATACTACTGAATATGTTTCCACAAGTTTCTAATGCAGTCTCGCAACTTCGTCCACCTCGAGCATCTGAAAAATCAAACACAAACAACATCACAAATTGAAACAATATACATTAGTAAAAAAAAAAAAAAAACTGTGAGTAATAAACGAAAATGAAATATGTACCACAAGTTTTAGCAGCTTGGTCACAGCCTGGGATTAACTTTTTGATATCATCGTAATCTTCCTTTCTAATTACTCCATTGTCTAATGCGAAATCATTATATGCTGGGTATTGAATTGCAGGATTTGTTAATCCATTACCGATAGCAAAACCCTGTTGTTATATCAAATGAATCAATACAAGCAAAAGTAAGACAAATAATAATTAAATAACTAACCTTTCAACCACAGTAATAATGCAAAATATATAAGAAATGGTACCAAACCTTAAGGTTTATATGAAGTCCTTCATTTTTCTTATTTGCTTGGTTAATACGGGAAGCAAGAGCCGGAATATAGTGTCCGGCATATGATTCACCAGTAATATAAAAGTCATTCTTATCGAAATTTGAATGCGCCTTGAAAAACTCCTGCATATTATAGTAAAATAAATAAATAATTTAGTGAATTTTCTTTGTACACAACAAGAATCATTGTATTCGGATAAATGGGATGAAAGAAGGAAATTTTGCTGATAATTATCACCTGCAAGAAGTCATATAAATCATTGCTAACGCCAACTTCATCATGTGGAATGTCACTTTCATCAGAAGAGTAACTAAAACCTGTACCTGTAGGCTGGTCAACAAATATAATATTTGATGCCTGCAAAATGAAGAGGAGAAAAATTGTTGATACAATACAAATAAGCTAACAATTTTGATGTAACACTTTCGATAATAAAGGAAAGATGGAAATATATGGTTACCTGATCCCAGCCATAATCATTCCATGTAAGAGACAAATTATTAGCAATATGAAAAGGTCCATTTTCATAAAACAAAGCTAATTCACTGCCACATCCTGGTCCTCCAGTTAACCATATGACAACAGGATCATCCTTTTTGTTTCGTGATTCAAAGAAAAAGTAGAACATCCTTCATGACACGAAAAAAAAAATTGGCAGCATATTAGGATGACGGATAAAAGGGCCAAATTAAGATTAATCAATTAATTAATTAAAATGGAAATACAGCACTTGAGGAAGTGATATATATAATGAATAGTGAAATTATATGAGAAGGGTATAGTCACCTTGCAGCTTTGGAATGAGGAAGTGAATAGTAACCTGCATGGTGACCAAGGTCTTCGACAGAAGGCCCAGAATCACCAAGAAACGAGAACTTTTTCTCGACTATCTTTCCAGGGACAAAATCAGCATGGCCACCTTTAACAATGTTAACTGATTTCTTTGGGAAAAGGTTGAGGCTTCTAATGAGTTTTTGTGCTTGTGAATGTGATGGGGTGGCATGGTCATGGGTGAAGCCAGAAGTTGCATAGGAAGAAGATAGTGAGACAAAGAAAAGCAACAAAAGAGACAGAGAGACTCTGGAGAATGCCATGTTGTCTGCGTTTTTGGAAAATGCGTGCCAAAGGCTTTGTACTTGTAGCACTCAGCCAATCACGAAGTCGCAAGTTAAAGGCGTTCCACCACTTAATTTTCTTAATTTTTTTAGGGTGTGTATTAATTCTTTATGTAATATATTAATTATTTTGTTGACTTTTACTTTCAGTTTTTGTTTGTCCATGGTTCTCAACCATGATATGCACTATTCATTGGCTATTGATATTGTTCATTAATTTTTAGTAATAAATGAAGGCATTGGTAATTACTCCTTTTTAAAAAAAATTAAGTAATTTTTTTTATTAGTTACATTTTAAAAAAAAAATATAATCTTTCATCTCATTTAAATTTAATTAATTTATACATTGCATTTATTATTTAGGAAAAATGAAAGAGAGTCAAACAAAAAATATCAAAATTGTTTTATAGAAAACAAAAAAAAATATGTTTTTTGATTTGTGCAAAAGATATTAAAAAATTAATAATAAATTATATATATCCAATAAATGATATTTTTATTTATTGATATATAATAAATTTACATTGATTTGTATTTATTTTTATTGATTTATACTTAATTATATTGATATTAAATATTACAAAAATTAAACATTAAATACTAATAAATGATATAGAGAGAGAGATAGAGGAGGGATCTGTTTACTCTAAGAGTAAGTCTATTTAGACTTACTCCGATCAATAACTCATGTTTTACTTTAAATTTCAACAATCGAATCATTAAATTTAAAGTTCTTAATATATAGATCAAATCTGTAGATTTTAAAAAAATTAAAAATTATTTAATACTTCGTTTTATTAATTCAAATCAATATATAAAATGATTTTATGATTATCCGTCAATTTGAATTAATAAAATGAAGTATCAAATAATTTTTAAATTTTTTAAAAATTTGCAGACTTGATCTATGCATTAAGATCTTTAAATCCAATGGTTGGATTATTGAAATTTGATGTAGAACATGAGTTATTGAACGAAGTAAGTCTAAGTAAACTTATTCCTAGAGTAAATAGATCTATCCTCATATATATATTCCTTATGTTTTCTATTATGAGAAAAAAAAATATAAGTAAATTTTAAATATTTTTGTTTTATATTTTTGTCTTATTTAAAGATATTATCTCCAACATATCTCTCCTTTAATGTATGACCTAATGACCTTTTGATTGTATTATTTCTTTTAATATTTGTAACAAGGATAATTTAGGAATAATATTATGTCATTAATAAAATTCAATGTAGAAAATTAATTTTCTTAATATGAATAAAATCATTTTTTTTGCTTATAATAAAAAAATAGAAAAATAGAAAATAATAATAATAATAATAATTGTATTGTACAAAAATGTTTTTTAGGAATTTTTTTTAATAAGAATGTTTTTATATTTCTTCTTAAGATAAATGTCAATGACATTCTCTCTTCTAGTATAATTTACAATGATTTCAATTAATAATAGAGGATGTTAATGTTCTTTTTCAAACAAGAGATTTTTAGGAGTTTTTATCACTATATTATATTTCATTTTCTTAATTATTTTTATTTTTATTTTTATCCTTTTTCTAAACTAAATTTTTTGAATAAGTCTATAATAAATTATCAAATACTTACATATAACCTTATATATCACAATAAAAATTATTTATCATATATAAGTATAAAATATAAAGTATATATTTAAAATATTTATTATAAATTTTAAATATAATATAATTTACATTTAATAATATTTTCTATTATAACTTTTAATTATATAAAAACTATATTGATCATGTGCATTACAAAGAGTAAACTACTAAATAATGAAATATTAATATTAATTCTTATTAAGTGATAATATATACTAACAACCTAAATATTGAAAAAGAAAAATTAATATTTTTATGTAGAAATATAAATATATGGAATATGATGTAATATATATATAGATTAAGGTTAGTTGAATTGGAGACCAAAAACTCATTTTGGGATCTTTACAATTCGAAAAAGATTAAATTATTTATATAACAGCTCTAATATTAGAGTTGAACACTTTGGACTCGTATTTATTTTTATATTAGTATGATATTTTTTATTTAAGGTTTAAAGATCTCATATCAATGAAATTTTTCACGTTTATATAAATTTATGTTCCTCCATTTGTTCTAATAATGTTAGACTTTGATTGTATTTTAACAATCTTCCTTTCTAATAAATTGGATCATGGTTTAATCTCCAATTTAGCATAAGTCATCTATTTAGTCCATTGAGCCAATCACTTGAACGAATTATCAGCTTTGTATCATTTTTAAGCACCGACATACACCTCTCCACATTTATATGTGTTACAATTTTGAGAACGTATAGGATATTGTCTAGCCGCTCAATCAAAGTTAGAACATTTAAAAGTGTAATTTGTTTGTCTCTATCCTCGGGATAGAGTATTTATAATGATTTTTACGGGTTTATGTGCCTTGAGAATTTTGATATTTGATAAAATAATTTAAGTATCATATCTTGACATATTATCTTTATTAAAGATAAGATTTAGTCCATATTTTTTACATCCAAATAATATATCAGATAACATTTACCTATTTCATCTCAATGTATCCATCTTAGATTATATCTAAGATAGTACACTTGCCTATTGACCTTGAGCCCAAAAGGCAAAGGAGTTTGTTCATATCGTCTTGATAAACCAATCTTTACAAGTCCATCTCATATTATATCTGGAATGGTACACTTGCCTACCAGGGTTGAACCTGAAAAGGCCAAGGGGTTTGTTCATAGCACCTTGGTAAACTAATCTCAATGAGTTCATCTTAGATTATACCTTAGATGATATATCCAGGATGATACACTTAATTACCTACTAGCCTTGAGCCTAAAAGGTGAAGGAATTTGTTCAGAGCATCTTGAGAAACCAATCTTAGTAAGTTCATCTTAGACTATCTGGGATGGTACACTTCGTGTGTTCATGAGTTTTTCACAATTTATTAGCTTTGAATTATTTATACGTACTTGTGTAGTTAACTTATGACTAATTTGTAACGAGTTCTTTACAATTTATTGTCTTCGAATTATTTATACAATCGTAGTCAACTTATGATCAATATGTCATGAGTTCTTCATAATTTATTGTATTTGAATTATTTATACTCGTCCAATCAAATATTAACCGATCAATCATGAGTTTGTCTTTGAATTATTTATACTTATCTAGTCAAATTTTGATCGATCAATCACGAGTTTGTCTTCAAGTTATTTATACTCATCAATCAGATTTTGATCATTCAATCATGCTTTTGTCTTCAAATTATTTATACTTGTCCAAACATATTTTAATCGATTAATAAAGAGTTTGTCTTTTACTTATTTATACTTATCTTGTCAAATTTTGATTGACCAATCACGAGTTTGTCTCCGAGTTATTTATATTCACCTAGTTGAATTTTAAGTGATTAATCACAAGTTTGTCTTCGAGTTATTTATATTCACCTAGTCGGATTTTAATGATAAGTTTATCTTTGAGTTATTTATACTTGCCTAGTTAGATTTTGACCAATCAATCATGAGTTTTTTTTTAGTTTTTTATACTCACCCAAATGAAATTTAATCAATCAATTACAAGTTTGTCTTCGAGTTATTTATACTCATTTAGTCGAATATTAACTAGTCAATCACGAGTTATTTATACTCGTCTAATCGAATTTTGATTGATCAATCACGAGTTTGTCTTTGAGTTATTTATACTCATCTAGTCGGATTTTGACCAATCAATCATGAGTTTTTCTTTGAGTTATTTATATTAGCCCAAACAAAATTTAACTAATCAATCACGAGTTTGTCTTCGAGTTATTTATACATGTCAAGCCAAATTTTGATTAATCAATCATAAGTTTGTCTTTGAGTTATTTATAGTCGAATTTTAACTAATCAATCATGAGTTTGTCTTTGAGTTATTTATAGTCGAATTTTAACTGATCAGACATGGGTTTGTCTTCTAGTTATTTATACTCGCTTAGTCAGATTTTGATTGATCAATCATGAGTTTTTATTTGAGATATTTATACTCGCTCAGTCAGATTTTGATCGATTAATCACAAGTTTGTCTCTGAGTTAGTTATATTCATCTACAAGAGTTTTAACCAATTCATCACAAGTTTGTCTTCGAGTTATTTATACTCACTCAATTGGTTTATAATCGATCAATCACGAGTTTGTCTTTGAGTTATTTATACTTGTCTAGTCGGATTTTAACAAATCAATCACGATTTTATCTTAAAGTTATTTATATTTGCCCAATCAGATTTTGACCAATCAATCTCGAGTTTATCTTCAAGTTATTTATACTTGTCCATTCAAATTTTAACAAATCAATCATGAGTTTGTCTTTGATTTATTTATAGTCATCTAGTTGAATTTTGATCGATCATGAGTTATTTATAGTCTCCTAGTTGAATTTTGATTGATCAATCACGAGTTTGTCTTTGAAATATATATACTCGTGCAGTCGGATTTTAATCAATTAATCACAAATTTGTCTTTAATTTATTTATACTCTCCTAGCCACGAATTAACCAATCAATCACAAGCTCATTGATTAATTTATACTTGTCTAGTTGGTTTATAATTAATCAATCATGAATTGTTATTTGCATATTTTTGTCTTCGATTTATTTATACTAGTCCAATCGACTTATGACCGATCAATCACAAGTTCTTTGCAATTTATTTTCTTCGTATTATTTATTCATATTATTTATACTTGCGTGTCATGAGTTTTTTGCAATTTATAGCCAAGGAGTTATGAAATAATTAGATTTTTATTAACTTAATGGAGAATAATTTTAAATTTTTGATTGATAGAAAATTTAAGCAATTATAGCATATTAATGATTTTTCTTTGAATACAAAATCTTATCTTTAGTAAATATTTGAACATGTGAGTCTAACAAAATTAATAAATTTTATCATATCAATATTATCTTTTTGGTTAAAACTCTAATTTGCTCCCTTATAATATTTTTTTATTTCAATTTAGTCCCACTTTAAT